ACAGGGGTCGGGAGTTTACATGCGTCAGGCGATGGCAAGGCAGGACTGTAGGGTCAATAGTCGACCTGACCTTTGCTACCCCGACCCTTGCAACAAGATCCAGTGGCTGGAAAGTGCTTGTGGGGGAGGAAACGCTCTCGGATCACAAATATATCCGTTTTACCGTTTCTCCCCCGGCAGGCAATAATCAGTCTACAAACACTGGCGAGAGTTACCAGTTTCCGCGCTGGGCTCTCGCCAAAATGGATATTGAACTGGTTGAGGAGGCGTCGATTGTCCAGGCATGGATCCTGGACACACAAATGGACATCCCAAATGTGGACGATAAAGCCGAGCTTGTCGGGAACTCCCTCGCGGAAGTTTGTAATGCATCCATGCCTCGCTCTGCTGGCCCCAGGAGACGCACTCAGGTCTACTGGTGGTCGGCTGAACTTGATGAGCTGAGGCGGGATTGCTTACGGAAAAGACGCGCCCTCCTACGTAATCACCGCAGGAGAAGACGCGACCTCGAGACGGAAGCAGTCCTGAAAAGGCAGTACGCAGACGCTAAGAAAAGCCTGCGGGACTCCATTTGTGGAGCCAAAGAGACGGCTTGGAAGGAATTCCTTAATGATCTGAACAGGGATCCGTGGGGGAGACCATATAAGCTCATTCGTAACCGAATGAAGCAACGTCCTCCCTCCACGGATCAAATGGATCAGGAATTACTTGACAGGGTCGTTTCCTCCCTGTTCCCCAGGACCCCCCCAGTCGTTCCCTCCCTCCTCCCTCCTGGACGTCGCCTGGATCTGAGTGGGGACTGTACCTGGATCACTGATGGGGAGATGGAGGACGCGGTTGAGCGACTGAGGCTGAAGAACAAGGCGCCCGGCCCGGACGGAGTCCCTGGCAAAGCCTTACGTCTGGCGCTCAAACACCTGGGGTTACACATTAGATCTCTCATGGACTCCTGCCTAGAGCAGGGACGTTTCCCCAGGTGCTGGAAGAAAGGCAGACTGGTGCTACTTAGGAAAGAAGGCAAGCCAGCGGATTCCCCATCAGGGTACCGTCCTGTCGTACTGCTGGACGAGGTCTGCAAGTTGTTCGAGAGAATAGTTGCAGACCGCATCGTCCAGCATCTGGAGACGGTAGGTCCGGACCTCTCAGACCGGCAATACGGGTTTAGGCGCCACAGGTCAACCGTGGACGCTATTCTCAAGCTGAGAGCGGAATGCGAAGTGGCCACTGGAAGGGGGGAGTTATTAATCGCGGTGTCTCTTGACATCAAGAATGCGTTTAACTCTCTCCCCTTCCAGTGTATTGAGGATGCACTTGCATTCCATGAAGTCCCGGGTTACCTGTGTCGAGTGATCCTTGACTATTTGAGGGACAGGGAGGTGCTGTTCGTTGGAGGGACTGGTTCTGCAGTGTCACGGAACATGGAATGCGGGGTTCCACAGGGGTCGGTGTTGGGCCCACTCCTGTGGAATTTAGGATACAACTGGGTGCTTCGTGGAGCCCTCCTCCCCCGTACAAGTGTCGTCTGCTATGCAGACGACACCCTGGTCACGGCACGGGGTAGCTCTTTCTTCTCTACGAAGCGCCTAGCGGAGATATCTACTGAGCTGGTGGTCGGACGTATCCGCAGACTGGGTCTGCAGGTGGCCGTGGACAAGACGGAGGCGATCCTCTTTCACGGCCCCAGAACAGGTCTGCCAAACAATGCGCACCTGAGGATAGATGGCGTGGGAGTCCGAATCAGCCCGCACCTGAAATACCTGGGCCTTCTGCTCGACAGCCGGTGGAGCTTTACTCCACATTTCGAGCAGATGGCACCAAAGCTGATCAGGACGGCTACGGCCCTCGGCGGAATCTTACCGAACCTAGGAGGCCCGAATTCCACTTGCCGACGACTGTTTGCCGGCGTTGTCAGGAGCATGGCGCTATACGGTGCTCCCGTCTGGTCATGCTCCCTTAACGCACGCAACAGGACCCTACTGAGGAGGCCACAAAGGGTCGTGGCGAACAGAACAATCCGCGCGTACAGGACTGTATCGTTTGCGGTTGCCTGTACACTTGCGAGTATGCCTCCGTGGGAGCTTGAAGCCAAGTTGCTCACGGAGGTTTACAAGGCTCGCAACGAGTCTCTGGCAAGAGGCGACCGATTGGCCCCAGTGGAAATGGTCGCCATCCGAAATGGGTTCGAGGAGGAGCTCATGGAGGTCTGGGAACAGAACCTCGAGTCCACTGCCGCTGGAGTTCGCACACTCGTCGCCGTCCAACCAGTCCTCAGGGAATGGAAGGATAGGCGGCACGGTGTGCTCACCTTCCACCTGGTTCAGGTACTTACAGGGCACGGTTGTTTTGCCCGATACCTGCACCGGATTGGGAAGGAAGACACACCACAGTGCAAACACTGCAGCGCTGGTGAGGACACTGCACAGCACACCCTGGAAGTGTGCAGTGCGTGGTCCTCCCAGCGATACGCGCTGACGCTGGCGGTGGGCCAGGACCTATCGCTCCACAACGTGGTTCGCTCCATGTTGAGCAGCCGCAGGTCCTGGGAGGCGGTCTCCTCCTTCTGCGAGACCGTGATGTCGCAGAAGGAGGACGCGGAGAGAATCCGCGAGGCAGCGGCTCTGGCGGGCACTCGCCGGAGCCGCAGAGTGGGAGTTAGGCGTCGCCGTTACGTGCGACAACTTCCACCATGACCAGGAACATGGGGCCCGCGCCCTTAGTGCGAGTGTGGGCTCCCTGACTCGGGCATTCGCCCGGGCCGGGGACCTCACGCTCGCACCCACACTTACACATCACACACACAACTATACACTTACAGACTAACATCACTTACACCTAGAGTGTCGGTGATCGCCCCTCCGGGGCCGTGAGACACCCCCCCCCTTGGGGGTTGCATGGCCCCGGAGGGGCGGTTACCGACTCACTCATCACACACTCACACACCACACCTACGGACACACTCGCACACACTCACACACTAGCAATAACACACACACATCGTCAGGCACACACTTAACACTAAATACAACTACATACTACATAAACACTTACCTCTACACTTACCTTTCCCCCCCCCCGCTCGCCTCTGTCGGCGTCGCTTCCTTCCCTCTCATTAGAGAGGGTTCCGGATGCGTCGCCGGTTGGGGCGGGCGGGGGGGGCCGCGGGCTTCTTGCTTCCTGGCGGGCAGCCAAGCTTCCGTACCCTGCGTTTCTCCGTGCGGACCGGAGGACGGGCCTTCCATGGCGGCCGTGCACTTGTGCGCGACCGTATGCAAGGCTCAGAATCCGCGAAGATTACCAGCCTACCTTAACCCTCTGGCTTGCCGATGTGGAGCGGGATGGCTGGTAGTGAGGGGAACCAGGGAGTTCAACCTACGTATGTGGGGGAGGGAGCTTTCCATCTCGCACTTTGGCCGCGGGGCCGTCGGGGCCCGACTGCAACACACACCGTTCGGTGTGTGGGGTGATCGGGCCTCGGCGGGGTCGTGGCCAGAGTCGCGACTAAGGAACGGTGTACCGGGGGGAGGGATGGACACCGGGGCTATCGGGGAGAGGGACGCATGTGGGGCAACCCATATGTGTCTCCACGAGACAGTCGTTAGGGCAGGAGAGATACAGTTGCGTGTCTCCTGTCCTTGACGAGGGGCAGTCTGGTGGTTTGCGCGCCGCCGGACATTGCACGCCCCTTTGTCCTGTCTGTGGGGGCGAGACTCGGATGTTCCTGAGCCTCCCCCCTAACCCGAGAGGGGATCCGCCCCGTCTGGGCGGGTCTTCCGAAGGCGGTACTGTGGTGTGTGGCTTCGGCTGATCCCACTACCGTCTTCTTTGTGAGGGACATCGGCAGGTTTTAGTGGGTAGGCCCCGGCCGTCTGCCGGGGAGAGCCCCACATCACCCGTGGACCACGCGCTGTGGGAAGCGGGTATGCAATTTCATGCATTTCCTTCCGTCAAAAAAAAAAAAAAAAAAAAAAAAAAAAAAAAAAAAAAAAAAAAAAAAAAAAAAAAAAAAAAAAAAAAAAAAAAAAAAAAAAAAAAAAAAAAAAAAAAAAAAAAAAAAAGGTTAGGTTAGGTTAGGTTAGGTTAGGTTAGGTTAGGTTAGGTTAGGTTAGGTTAGGTTAGGTTAGGTTAGGTTAGGTTAGGTTGGGGGACAAGTTGCTCACGTCCGCAGGCTTTGGCCCTTTGATACCCTGCACGTGTCCCCCGGGTGGCGCCAACGAGCAACAAGTAGGGGTTCGGCTGGCGTCTCGGACATATTCTGAGTAGCGGCAGTCGGGCAAGGGGGGGTGGTTGACCCACTGGGTCGTGAGAGGAAGGGCTGGAGGGGCGTCTTATTGACGTGTTGTGGTGGTTGTGTGTGACGCGTTGTCGTTGTTTGTCGTAGGAGCTCACACGACACCCTCTGATGTAGCAGAGAGCTGTCGTAGTGCTGATACAGACTGTGGCCATAGTAGCTAGGTAGGCTAGGCAGTAGGGTAGGAGTAGGGTCCTAGGCTAGTTAGGAGTAGGTAGGAATATGGTCGCAGTCTCCTTGAGGGCGTTGGTATTCTGTCTGGTTTTATGGTGGTATGGTGGTATGTTGGTCTCGCATCGGCGTCTCGGCCATATGCTGAATAGCGGCGATGTGATTCGGGGTTCGGTCGGCGTCCCGGATAGTCTGGGCAGCGGCGACGCGAGCTGGTTGGGCAGCGGGGTTATCTGAACATGGGGGTCATGTGCAGAAACCTGCTTCGGCAACGCTGGCCAAACCGGTATCCCTCATTGTGGGGGGCTGGTGAGGCTGCCCTTGATTGGGTGATCTCGCGAGGAGATAACCTCACTAAAAAATCCATAACTTCAAGCTAGCTACGGGCGAGGGGGTGCATGGCCGGAGTGGGATTCGGTCTCTACGTAGCCTCTGGAGATGGGGATTGGCGGCCCCTCATCTTCACAACCCTACGCTTACCCAGGCACAGGGGGCTCTGCCTGGGTGGACCGAATATTTCCCCCATACTCGTGGGAACAGTATGGATGAAAATTTAAATAAAAACTTAACGGATGACGAATGCATGGAGAAGGAAGGAGAGGAAGGTGGAATGGGCGCAGCGGGTGCCTCAGCGTCCAGTGAGACAGGCGCGCCAGATAAGGGTAGCAAAAGGAAGAGGATATGGATGAAATCGGCTAACGATAGTTCATCGGACTCGGGAGGGAAGTCGAGGACAAGGAGAGGTCGCGGTCGACCGCCTACCACAGGGCAATATGTTGGGATGGCGAAGACACAAAAGGAGTATGTGGAGGCCAGAAGGAAGGAGCTGGAGCTTCAGGCGGAGGAGGAGGTGGAAGATTTGACACTGCAGGCCAGCCAGCGCAGGCAGGAGAGGCTGTCCCGGATCAACCAGGGAGTGGGCGAGCAGGTCACTGCGGACTTAGTAGTGCAGCAGGTGCAGGATGACATTGCGGTGATTATGAAGGTGGCATCGAGGTCTAAAAACCTGAAGGGCACCTTTACAAAGTCCCTGAAGGAGGCTGCTGCATCGATTCAGCAGTCCGTTAGCACCCTCAGCACGCGGACAATGAGCCAGGAGACTCAACAGCTCCAAACCGACAACCGACGGTTGAGAACGGAAGTGGCAGAGCTCAAGAAGGAGGTGGCGGAACTTCGGGCCACCATAGAGATGATGAGGCTCGAGAGGACCAACGTGCAGGAGAGTAGTGCGCGTCGTGAGGGTACGGGTCCTCAAGGATCCCAGCCTGAGGTGCGGGAAATCGTGCGGGAGGTGGTGAAGGAAGTCAGCGCCCAGTTTACGTCGCGGCTTGAAGCGCTGGAGAGGCGATTTCCTTCGACGGAAAGGATGCGACCGCCTTTGGCGCCGGATTCGGTGAGGAGCTCCACCGCTTCGCTAAACCGTATGCCAACATCCCAAGTGGCAGGAAGGGGGAGAAGCGTCCAAAGAAGGGGAGCGGGCACGGCAAGACAAGGGAGTCAGGCTAGTAGGAAGGTTTCAACAAAGGTAACCGCTGTGGCAGCACCTGTTCCCATGCAGCCTAAGCCTCTGGAAGAGGGGTGGAATGTGGTGGTGGGGAGAAAAGCTATTAGGAGAACTGGACAAGTGCTCTCTGGCCCACAGGTGGCTGCGCGAAAGCCAAGGCTGCGTCCTCCTAAGTCAGTGGCGGTAGTGGTAACCCTAGATGCAGAAGCGGAAAGGAGGGGAGAAACATATGAGGGAATACTAGCCAAGGCTCGGCGGGAAATAGACCTTGACCAAATAGGGATAGACCGGCAGAAGTTCCGATTCCGGTCAACAAGAACGGGGGCTCGGATTATTGAGATGGCGGGAGCTACAACCGCGGAGAAGGCGGACCTGCTTGCCGAGAGGCTGCAGAATACCCTGGCTGGGAGTGCGAGGGTGGCGAGGCCAGTGAAGATGGCTGAACTGCGCATCGCGGGGCTTGATGACTCCATACATAAGGCTGATGTGCAGGAGGCTATATTAAAGAAGGGGGGATGCTCGGCGGAATCGGTAAAAGTCGGGGAGGTTCGACGCGGCCCGAACGGAATGGGCACGGCATGGGTGCAGTGTCCAGTGACTGTGGCCAAGGTACTTGTGGAGGAGGGCAGATTGCTGGTTGGTTGGAGTGCAGCGAGGGTTACGGCTCTGGACCCAAGGCCGATGAAGTGCTTTAGGTGTCTGGAGTTGGGGCATACGCGGTCGATGTGTTTGTCGCCGGTGGATCGCAGCGGACTGTGCTATAGGTGCGGGAAGGAGGGGCACAAGGCTGCGGCGTGTATTGCCGAACCGCACTGCCCGGTATGCGAGGAAGCGGGTCGAACAGCGGACCACGTAGTTGGGAGCAAGAGGTGCTCGAAACCCAACAAGAAGGGCAAAGGGACGGGAAAAGAGGCAGCTTCCTCTCAGCCGAATGAGGAAACGCAAGCACAGGCCGGTACAATGATAGTCGACGATGGATAGTGGTCATTTTAAGTTAGCATTCCTACAGGCGAATATTAACCACTGCGCGGGGTCTCAGGATCTGTTCTTACAATCAATGGCAGAGTGGGCTATAGATGTGGCGGCCCTTTCGGAGCCATATTTCATACCGGATGGTCCAAGATGGTTTGGGGATACTGAGGGGTTGGCAGCAATTGTCTTCTCTGCGTCGGAGCTGGTCTCTCGTCCAACATTGTGGGAAAGAGGACCGGGGTATGTGGCAGTGAAGTGGAGAGGGCTCATACTGCTCTCTGGGTACTTTTCCCCAAATGGCGTACTCTCTGAGTTCGAGGAGTACATTGCCAGGTTAGACAGGGTGGTGGGGCGTGCGGCACCGATGCCAGTGATGGTGATGGGGGACCTGAACGCCAAATCGGCATTGTGGGGCTCTCCAGTGACGGATCCACAGGGTGTGGCTCTGGAAGAGTGGGCGGTTGGTGCTGGATTGTGCGTGCTAAATAGGGGTAACACACCCACATGCGTCAGGCCTCAGGGCGAGTCTCTGGTAGACGTGACGTTTGCGTCTCCTACGCTAGCGGCAAGAGTTTCGGGTTGGACGGTAAGAGTTGGGGTGGAAGCTTTATCTGACCATCGCTACATCACATTCGACGTAGCTGCGTCTGCACATGATAGGGATGCGAGGAATTCCTCAGGCTCCTCTCATTTTCCTAGGTGGGCGATAACCAAGATGGACCGGAATCTTATAGTGGAGGCCGCGATAGTACACGATTGGTTCGCGCGGCCTATGAGTGCCGACGTAGGTGTGGAAGAGGGCGCGAAATGGTTCGCAGATGCTCTAGCTTGTGTATGCGATGCCGGAATGCCTCGTGCAAGGCCAAGACCTCAGAGGAAGCAGGTCTACTGGTGGACGCAGCAGATTGCGGAGTTGCGAGCAGCATCCATTGTGGCGCAGCGCGCATACACGCGACAGAGAAGGCGTAGGATCAGAAATCAGGCGCAAGAGGAACACCTACTGGAGGAGTATAGGGTCGCCAAAAAGGCGTTAAAGCTATCCATTGTGCAGGCTAAGGCTTCAGCCCGAAAAGAACTGTTGGAGGAGTTAAATCGGGATCCGTGGGGGCGCCCCTATAAGATGGCGAGATCCAAACTGCGTGGACAGACTCCACCCGTTACGGAAACGCTGGAACCGCAGGTGCTGCAACGTGTCGTGGATGGATTGTTCCCAGCCCAATCGGAGTACCGTCTGCCGCAAATGCAGTTGGCGACAAGGGGAAATGCGATGGCAGAGGCTATACCTCCGATCGAAAGAGCGGAGCTGGGGGTGGCCTTCCTAAGGCTTAGGTCAAAGAATACGGCGCCGGGACCGGATGGCATCCATGGACGAGTCTGGGTGGCGGTTTCGAGGATACTTGAGGGAAGATTCCGTGACTTGCTGGGGAAATGTCTGGAGACGGGAGAGTTTCCTCAAAGCTGGAAGGCTGGCCGGATGGTGCTTTTGAAAAAAGAGGGGAGGCCAGATGATTCGCCGTCAGCATACAGACCCATAGTTCTGTTGAATGAGGCGGCGAAGCTCTTCGAGCGACTAATTGCTGGTCGGTTGGTCAGGCATTTAGCTACGGTGGGTCCGGGTCTGTCCGAATGTCAATACGGGTTCAGGGAAAGACGATCTACGATTGACGCCATACGGAGGGTGAGGAGCATCGCAGAAGAGGCAGCGTCAAGGAAGCAGGTGGTGCTGGCGGTATCGTTGGATATCGCCAATGCATTCAACTCTCTGCCATACGAATGTATTGAGGATGCGCTCCGATTTCATGGGGTTCCCCGATATTTGGGGCGAATTCTTAGAGACTACCTTCGTAATCGAACCATAGTCTACGTAGGAAGCGACGGTCGTGTGCACTGTAGGGCAATGGTCTGCGGTGTTCCGCAGGGATCGGTCCTAGGACCATTCCTGTGGAACATCGGGTATGACTGGGTCTTGCGGGGGGCACTGCTTAGAGGCCTGCAGTTAGTGTGCTACGCCGATGACACATTGGTGCTGGCACAAGCGAAGGACTTCCAGCATGCTACAATCTTGGCTGGAGTTGGAGTGACCCAAGTAATAAGACGCATTGAGTTGCTGGGACTGAAAGTGGCCATACATAAGACGGAGGCGCTCTTCTTTCATGGGGCGCGTAGAAGAGCTCCTGCGGGGGCTAGCCTTAACATCGGGGGGGTTAACATAACCATCGGCAGTACCATGAGGTATCTAGGTCTTCTGCTGGATAGTAAATGGCGCTTCGAGGAACACTTTCGAGGATTGTCACCAAAACTGATAGCGACGGCAGGAACTCTGGTTGGCCTTTTGCCAAATTTAGGAGGACCTAACATGAATGTTAGAAAGTTATTTGCAGGGGTGGTAAGGTCAATGGCTCTATATGGGGCGCCTGTTTGGGCGGATGCTCTCAATGCGGAGAATAGGGCTCAGCTAAGAAGGCCGCAGAGGGTGATGGCAGTCAGGGTCATACGCGCCTATAGGACTGTCTCTTTTGAGGCATCGTGTGTCCTGGCAGGGACTCCACCCTGGGATTTGGAAGCAGAAGTGCTGGCAGAAGTGTACGAAAGAAAAGCCCAAATGCTGCAGGATGGTGGAAGACCAGCGCCTGAGGAAATCAGGGGGTGGAGACGGGCAGCTGATGAGGTGCTCCAGAGAAGATGGCTGACTCGGCTGGAGAATCCTGTCGCTGGCAGACCAACCATCGAGGCGGTGCGCCCTGTGTTAAGGGAGTGGCGAGTTCGGAGGGAGGGTGTTCTCACCTTCAGACTGACACAGATGCTTACAGGGCATGGGTGCTTCGGTAGGTATCTGTGTCATGTAGCACGTCGGGAACCAACGACGGTATGCCACCAATGTGGGGCGCCAGATGATACGGCCCATCACACTCTTGTTGAGTGTCAGCATTGGGTCCAGCAGAGGGGGCAGTTACAGGACGTCATTGGGAGAGATGTGTCTCTACCAGCCTTGGTGAAAGCCATGGTTGGTGGAAGGCGAGGATGGAACGCTGCATCCTCATTCTGTGAGCAGGTCATGCTCCAGAAGGAGGCAGATGAAAGGGAAAGGGAGAATGATGCTGCATCGGACGAGATACGTCGTAGGCGAACTGGCAGAAGAAGAAGAGATTTTGCTCTTCATATGCCACCTTAGCCAGACTGCGGATGGGTTATACCATCCGCATTGCACAGCCTGGCAGGGGCGGACGTTAGTGGGTTGTTCCTAATGCTCCAGGATCGCCTTTTAAGTCGTTTCAGGAAGGAGAGCAAGGTGTTGGAATCTGAACAGGATCGTAACGTGGGAGCAGGCTGCGGTAGAATATTACGTACTTCCCGGGGTCTGTTCTTGGGTGTTGATGAGGCGGAGCATCGCAGGGTTTTAGTGGGTATGCCATCTGCGTTTTGACTAGCCTTTGGGCGGGTCCGTGTGGCTGGAGAGTCCCACACTCCGTGCGTAAAGCATTTCCCTGCGTTGGCAACCTCCTCGTGGTGCACCCCGGGCAACGTGGCCGCTCAAAGTAGCTTTGAGCCGCCACGGCTAATGTCAGACGACGTGTGGGCTCCGGGCCGGCGCCCCGACGGTAAGTCGGGCAGCGGCGGCCCGGTTCGGGCTGGACGGGCGCCCTGGGTATCCCGGGAAGCGGCCGTGCCAGCGAGGGCGATGAGCCTGGCGTGAGCGTCGGGTGGCTCGGTCGGCGTCCGGAAAGTATTTCTGGTAGCGACGACGCGTGTGGAGGCGACGGGTCCCTGGTCCGCTAACACCGGTCAGGGACAGGCTTCGGCCACCGTCGGCAAAACCGTTATCCCACACTATGTGGGACCGGGGGGACTGCCTTTAATTAGGTGATCCCGCGAGGAAGGAAAACCTCAATAAAAAACCCTCAAAGTCCCGGCATTGGGCTACGCGATGTCGGGGCGCCTGTAAAGGTGGTTGGCGGAGTTCGTCAACCAGCTAGCGCCACCCTCTGGATACCGCCCGCCCTCCAGAGGTATTAGGGTTATCCGGGTGCAGGGGGCACCGCTCGGATGGACAACTTAGATCCCCCATGCTCGTGGGAACAATATGGAATCTCTAATTAAAACTATAAAACCCTTTTTAAATGACGATAAGCAGGAGAGTATTGCTGAAAGGCCGGTGGAGCCCGTGGTCAAGCTGACCCGGGTTCCTCTACTGGAGGCCTTGGTGTCAGGAGAAAATGCAGAGCATCTGCAACTTGACGGCGAGTCCAGCCGAGAAAAAACGGGAGACAAAGATAGTACGGAAGTGGAGCAACCGCCTGGTCCGAGTCGAATAGTGACTCGCAGTAGATCTGCCTCAACCAAAAGCGATGCAGTAATAGCCGACAAAGAGGCTTTGACCTCCAACTCTGACTCATCGGCGACAATGGTAACGGTAAGCTCGGGGAAATCCTCGAGTAAACTGTGGAAAAGACCTTCAAGGCCTCGCGACAGGCAGAGCAGTAGCTCAGGAAGTGCGTCCGAAGTAGAACACCCATCTTCGGAAAGCACCACTGCCACAAAACGCGGTCGCGGTAGGCCTCCTAC